GCAAAGAAAGGTGGCTATATTGGTCACTGATTTGTTTTTGTTTTGTTTTTGAATGTCAGAAATGTATATTTGTGAATGTTGAGATGTTATATTGGTTTCACTGGTAATAATAAATAATTGAAATGGGTATATATTTGTTTTTGTTAAGTTGCCTAATAATTATGCACAGTAATAGTCACCTGCACACACAGATATCCCCCTAACATAGCTATAACTAAAAACAAACTAAAAACTACTTCCAAAAATATTCAGCTTTGATATTAATGAGTTTTTTGGGTTCATTGAGAACATGGTTGTTGTTCAATAATAAAATTAATCCTCAAAAATACAATTTGCCTAATAATTCTGCACTCCCTGTATTCATGGACAGCATGCATACATTCAAAACATGGAAACCCTTTACTGGCATTGGTATTAATGAAGCATAATGACTGCTTTTTATCAGTTAGCATGGAACAAACCCTGTGTCAGCAATATTTACTACAATAATTATGAAACTGCTGATATGATGCAGGGTAAACAAAGCAAGTATTGTGGCTGTAGAAATTCCTTTATGGTGCACACTCCACAGAAATTTTAAATTGTACTTAAAGAATACTCACTTAATGACATGATATGCAAATATAAATGTAATCCAAATGCAATATACAGATATCTGCTTCAACAATATAACAAGTTAAATCAAACTCACCCATAGAGACGTAAACAAGGCCTGGGCAATCATGGCACATCCCTTACCCGTGCCACAATTGTAGTAGACCAAAATAAATGGGTACTAAACAAAGGAACCCTTGTTGCTAGAGTCCAAATTAACCCCTTAGTGACCAGGCCGTTTTTCAATTTTCTTACCGATAAGGACCAGGGCTCTTTTTACATTTCTGTGGTGTTTGTGTTTAGCTGTAATTTTCCTCTTACTCATTTACTGTACCCACACATATTATATACTGTTTTTCTCGCAATTAAATGGTCTTTCTAAAGATACCATTATTTTCATCATATCATATCATTTACTATAAAAAAGAATTATAAAATATGATGAAAAAATTGAAAAAAAACCCTTTTTTGAACTTTGACCCCCAAAATCTGTTATGCATCTAAAACTGCCAAAAAAACATACATGCTAAATAGTTTCAAAATTTTGACCTAAGTTTAGAAATGCCCAATGTTAGCATGTTCTTTGCTTTTTTTGCAAAGTTATAGGGCTATAAGCACAAGTAGCACTTTGCTATTTCCAAACCAATTTTTTTCAAAATTAACACAAGTTACATTTTAACACTGATATCTGTCAGGATTCCCAAATAACCTTTGACATGTATATATTTTTTAAAAGAAAACAACCTAAGGTATTAAACCTGGGGTATTTTGAATCTTTTCATGCAGCTATTTTACCACCAATCTATGCCAAATAATAACAAAATAATAATTTTTTTAAAACACACAGCAATTTATGAATATATGTACTGAGAACTTTAAAGGGTTACTGCCAAAGAACACCCCAATATGTGTTTAGTATCATCTCCTAAGTACAGCAATACCACCCATGTATAGGTGTGTCGGGTTCTCTGGGGGCTAAAAGACCTTATTTGAAGGGTGCGCATTCCAGTTTTCCAACTTGGAATTTTCACAGTCATCATGCACCCATGTCCTATTTGGGACATTTTTGAAGCTGGATGTAATTTACCCCATTCAAACCACATATTTTTGAAAAGTAGACACCCTAGGGTATTTTCAAATGGTGGTATTTTAACACTTTCCATGCACTAATTCTACCACCAGTCTCTGTCAAACATTTGTATAGCTGTTTTTTTTGTGTTATTTTTCTCTCACATTATAATTTAGGCATGGATTTATAGTTCCGTTTATGTCTTACTGACAAAGAACACCCCAATATGTGTTCAGCAACATCTCCCGAGTACAACATGTCCCCAATGTACAGGTTTTATGGGCTTTTGCAAACTTACAGGGGTCAAATGTAGGGCTTTCCCTTTTTCCATGTTTGCACATTGAAATTTGCCAGATTGGTTTGCTGGGCCTATGTTGCCTTTGAGACTGTTACGCTACTTGAGTGATTTGGATTGGAACTCAACTGCAGCTTGTAAAACTCCCTAATTACAATTGTGAAGAAACTGAGAATCTTTAAAGTATCAATACTGTAGCTTTAAGAAAAGAGAGAATCACTGGTAACTTGATTCAAGCGAAGTTTTAATAAGTGTTAAACTTAAATGAATTGCATTTAGGCAATAATCTGATAAGAAGAAGTGCAAGTAATCAACAACACAAAGTTCATTATTAAGTATTTCCTCAGAGATGCATTAAGTAACATTCTTTAATAGTGATGTCCCAAACGGTTCGCCGAACGGTTCGCGAACGGTTCGGCGCGAACGGTTCGCCATGGACTCATCGTTGAGTAAACTTTGACCCTGTACCTCACAGTCAGCAGACACATTCCAGCCAATCAGCAGCAGACCCTCCCTCCCAGACCCTTCCACCTATTTCGGCACAGTGCTGCTAAAAGGTTGCCTACCCCTGCTCTATGACATGAAGCATACTTGTCTTAGTCCAGAAGGCTAGGACGACTTCAGAGTTTGTAGAGCCGGCGTGTCCCAGGAGCCAGCGTGCATATATTCAGAAGTAGGACCCACCTTGCCAGAGCCTGTGGAGAGGTAAGTCTGGCGGAAGTAGCTCCCAGCATCACCAAGAACCTCTCTCTGGCGCGGTCTCCCTAAATACCGCGTCAGAGGGGGGCGGGGTCCGGCTCCGCACAGCGGAGTGCCGAACCCGGAAGTGTTACCACATGACAGAGACCATATAGTAGCCCAGGAATTAAAATTAACCCCATCATGGCATACCATTTGTAAAAGTAGACAACCCAGGGTATACAAAATGGGGTATAATACGTGTCTGTGTGTGTGTGTTTATTATATATATATATATTTATATTATACACTCACTTTTATTTCATATATATTATAATTAAATCAATGTATAATATATTATACATATATAATGCATCTATGATTTCATCATAAGTGTATTTTGAGAAATATATCAAAGTACACTTGTAATAAAATCATATATATGCATTAAATATGTATAATATATTATAAAATTATTATTTTATAATATATTAAACATATATAATATAGACACTCCTCACTTATCTACCGGGTTCCCTTCCTATGACATGGTCGTAGAAAAAAATCAGTCGGTAAGTGAGGAGTTAAGGGATTCCCTGCTCTGGTGCATTTGTCTATGTTCGGGTAAACTTCCCTGAACATAGACGTACGCACCAGAGCAGGGAATCCCTTTAATCTATGTTCGGGGAAATTTCCCCGAACATAGATTTGAGGGATCCCCTGCTCTCATGCGTTTGTCTATGTTCGGGGAAATTTCCCCAACATAGATTTGAGGGATTACCTGCTCTGGTGCGTTCGTCCATGTTTGGGGAAGTTTTCTCAAACATATACATATGCACCAGAGCAGGGAATCCCCATGACGGCTTGCACTAACACCTGATCGTAAATGCGAGCCGTGGTAAAACAGGTAGGTCGCTAAATGAGGATCACCTGTAAATGTATAATATATTTATTTTATTCTTTTTTTTAGCAGCCTGGGGAACTGCCTGACAGTCCCCCTGCTGGCAGCTCCTAGAGTCCTATTGCGGTGATGTGATCATGGTGATCACATGGCCATGGAGGGCCAGGGTGGCCGGTGCTGCTGTAGGGGCTCTGCTGGGATCTCTGGCAGTCCTCCCTGACTGTGATCGATTCAGATCGTGGGTCCAGGGCTCCTATCTCGGACTGTTGCGGACGTCCATAACAACCGTTTTTTGTTGGACGTACCTAGTTTGTCCTCTGTCGTTAAGGGGAAATTATACATAGATATATATAATTTAATTCTAAGTGTATTTTGAGATATATATATATATATAGATATATATATATATATATCTCAAAATACACTTAGAATTAAATTATATATATATATATCAAAATACAGTGAGAATAAAATGACATTTATATACATATTTTTTTAAAAATTATTGTTTGTTTATTTTTAATTATTATTTATTTGTCATAATATATATATATATATATATATATATATATATATATATATATATACATAAAATGTTTGTAATCCTGAAGAAGGCTCCAGATGTGAGCCGAAACATTGATGTTTGTTTTATTATTTTTTTATATGAATTAAAAGTTAAATTTTACCATACCTCAAAGACCCTGGAGTGCTTTCCGTTTACTGGGATTTCTACTAATTTTACTGGATCAGCACCGGGCAATATCGTGATATTATCACCAGGAGTGCAAGCATATTTAATTTTGTCTAATATATAAAATTATATATACATATACACACGTGTGTAATTTTACTGTGTATTTTTATTTTAAATTAACATTTTATATATATATATATATATATATATATATATATACACACCCTGTTCCAAATTATCATGCAAATGATATTTTTCTCATTTACCTAAATAATTAATGTAAATAACAGTGAGCATAATTCTGATGGTATCAACTATTAAGAGTACAATTCAAATTTTATTGAACAAACATCCTAATGATAACAGTATTTTTTTTAAAACATAAAAAATCCAAATTATTACGCACAGTAAGTTTCAAAACACTTTATAAGTTGTAAAGAACTGAAAATTGTCATTTCTTGTGTTTGCAGCATATTTACTGAAATCAAAAGCTATTTCAATCAAACTTATAACAACATTTTAACTTTTTAAACATTCTAACAGGTTACGTTACATTTTAACATAGGACCCTTTATTTGACAAGTCTTGCGTCCATTGAACTTGTGAGTTTTTGGACAGTTTCTGCTTGAATTTGTTTGCAAGATGTCAGAATAGCCTCCCAGAGGTGCTGTTTGGATGTAAATTGCCTCCCACCTTTATAGATCTTTTGCTTGAGGATGCTGCAAAGGTTCTCAATAGGATTGAGGTCAGGGAGGATGGAGGCCAAACCATGACTTTCTCTCCTTTTATCCCCATAGCAGCCATTGATGCAGAGGTATTCTTTGCAGCATGAGATGGTGCATTGTCATGCATGAAGATGATTTTATTACGAAAAGCATAGTTCTTCCTTCTGTACCAGGGAAGAAAGTGGTCAGTCAGAAACTCCACATACTTTGCAGAGGTCATCTTTACACCTTCGGGGACCCTAAAGGGGCCGACCAGCTCTCTTCCCATGATTCAGGCCCAAAACATGACTCCACCACCGCCTTGCTGATGTTGAAACCTTGTTGGAACAGGTTGGCCGTCCACCAACCATCCACTACTCCATCCATCTGCACCATCCAGGGTTGCACGGCACTCATCAGTGAACAGGACTGTTTGAAAATTAATCTTCATGTATTTTTCTGCCCAATGCAGCCATTTCTGATTGTGAGCATTGGTTAGCGGTGGCCGAATAGAAGGTTTATGCACAGTTGCAAGAGTCTGGAGGACTCTACACCTTGATGTCAGTGGGACTCCAGAGGCACCAGCAGCTTCAAATATTTGTTTGCTGCTATGTAATGGTATTTTAGCAGCTGCTCTCTTGATCCGATGCATGGATCTGGCAGAAATCTTCCTCAATGTGCCTTTATCTGCATGAACCCGTCTGTGCTCTGATTCAGCCACAAATCTCTTAATAGTGTGATGATCATGCTTAAGTTTTGAAATATCTAATGTTTTTATACCTTGTCCAAGGCATTGAACTATTTCACAGTTTTCGGCAGCAGAGAGATCCTTTTTCTTCCCCATATTGCATGAAAATGGTGCTCTGCTTAATAATGTGGAACACCCTCCTTTAGTTGTTTTTCCTTAAATTGGGCTCACCTGGCAATCTAATTATCACAGGTGTCCGAGATTGTGTTCAGTGATCAAAAGAGCCCTGAAACACAATGCCATCCATGAGTTAAACTGAAAAACAAAATATTTAAATCTTTGTGACACTTATATAGAATTTGCATAATAATTTGGAACAGGGTGTACAGCCAGGTCCATAAATATTGGGACATCGACACAATTCTAATCTTTTTGGCTCTATACACCACCACCATGGATTTGAAATGAAATGAACAAGATGTGCTTTAACTGCAGACTTACAGCTTTAAATTGAGGGTATTTACATACAAATCAGGTGAACAGTGAAGGAATTACAATCGTTTGTAAATGTGCCTCCTACTTTTCAAGGGACCAAACGTAATAGGACAATTGGCTGCTCAGCTGTTCCATGGCCAGGTGTGTGTTATTCTCTCATTATCCCATTTACAAGGAGCAGATAAAAGGTCCAGAGTTCATTTCAAGTGTGCTATTTGCATTTGGAATCTGTTGCTGTCAACTCTCAATATGAGATCCAAAGAGCTGTCACTATCAGTGAAGCATTAGGCTGAAAAAACAAAACAAACCCATCAGAGAGATAGCAAAAACATTAGGTGTGGCCAAATCAACTGCTTGGAACATCCTTAAAAAGAAAGAATGCACCGGTGAGCTCAGCAACACCAAAAGACCCAGAAGACCACGGAAAACAACTGTGGTGGATGACCGAAGAAATCTTTCCCTGGTGAAGAAAACACCCTTCACAACAGTTGGCCAGATCAAGAATACTCTCCAGGAGATAGGTGTATGTGTGTCAAAGTCAACAATCAAGAGAAGACTTCACCGGAGTGAATACAAGATGTAAACCATTGGTGAGCCTCAAAAACAGGAAGGCCAGATTAGAGTTTGCCAAACAACATCTAAAAAAGCCTTCACAGTTCTGGAACAACATCCTATGGACAGATGAGACCAAGATCAACTTGTACCAGAGTGATGGGAAGAGAAGAGTATGGAGAAGGAGAGGAACTGCTCATGATCCAAAGCATACCACCTCATCAGTGAAGCATGGTGGTGGTAGTGTCATGGCATGGGCAGGTATGGCTGCCAATGGAACTGGTTCTTTTGTATTTATTGATGATGTGACTGCTGACAAAAACAGCAGGATGAATTCTGAAGTGTTTCGGGCAATATTATCTGCTCATATTCAGCCAAATGCTTCAGAACTCATTGGACGGCGCTTCACAGTGCAGATGGACAATGATGCGAAGCATACTGCAAAAGCAAGCATCTGGTGATGTCTATACGTTCCAGACTTCAGGCTGTAATTGACTGCAATGGATTTGCAGCCATGTATTAAAAAGTGAAAGTTTTATTTATGACTGTTAATCTGTCCCATTACTTTTTGTCCGTTAAAAAGTGCGAGGCACATATACAAACTGTTGTAATTCCTACACCGTTCACCTGATTTGGATGTAAATACCCTCAAATTAAAGCTGAGTCTGCAGTTAAAGCACATCTTGTTTGTTTCTTTTCAAACCCATTGTGTTGGTGTATAGAGCCAAAAATATTAGAATTGTGTAGATGTCCAAATATTTATGGACCTGACTGTACATATGATTGTTGCTTTTCAGGCACTGGAAGAAACATTTGCTATCGAATCAAAACTTTTTTTTTATCTTCCACTTGATCACTGGGCTTAGTAGTAAGAAATATAAAATAAATTTAAGCTAATAAACTAAATGAAAGTAAAATAAAAATATATTCAGAAACTCCTAGCAATTTGATGTTGTTTTCAATTTAAGCTGCCCTGTCGATTCTTAGTGGCAGCAGATAGAATCACCAAACTAATAATCTATATAATTTATATGTAATCGTGTAAAGTAGTAAAATTTGGATTGTAAACAAATGCAATTAATAAAGAAAAAGTCAACCTTGATAAATAAATACATACAAATCTAAAGGGTGAAGGGATATTGGAGTGTTATATGATATATATACCTAGTTCTTATAACACTTCTAAAAAACAAAAAGTTAGCATTTAGTAATTAAAAAAAAAAAGAGTGATAGACAAATCTATAAGATTAGGCAGAAATAGGCTAAGCAAGTTATAAGAGCTTCCAAATCACACACAGAAGAGAAAATAGCACAGTCAGTAATAAAAAGGGGGACAAACATTTTTTAGATACATAAATGAGAAAAGGAAAGTAAAACAAGGATTAGTTAGATTCAAAACAAAAGAAGGAAGGTATGTAGGATAGGATTAAGTCTAGCTGACTGCCTCAATTAATACTTTTGTTCAGTATTTACAGATAAAAATAAAGGGAAGGGGACTCAGTTAGGAAAAGGACAAATGAGTCATTTGTTACATGTGAGTTTACAGAGGTTCTATTTCAACTGTCAAAAGTAAAGACAAATAAGTAAATGGGACCTGATGGAATACACCCAAAGTTATTAACCCCTTAAGGACCAAATATCTGGAATAAAAGGGAATCATGACATGTCACACATGTCATGTGTCCTTAAAAGAGCTTAGTGGTGTACTAGCAAAACCATTAACAGATTTATTTAACCAATCATTGTTAACAGGAGTAGTCCCAGAAGATTGGAAGTTAGCGAATGTTGTACCCATTCATAAGAAAGGTAGATGGGAGGAGTCGGGCAACTATAGGCCAGTAAGCTTTACTTCAGTAGTGGGGAAAGTAATGGAAACCATGTTAAAGGATAGCATTGTTGAACATATAAAATCACAGGTATTTCAAGATCAGAGACAACATGGGTTTACTTCAGGGAGATCATGCCAAACTAACCTTATAGATTTTTTTGATTGGGTAACTAAAATAATAGATCAGGGTGGTGCAGTAGACATTGCTTACCTAGATTTCAGTAAGGCTTTTGATACTGTTGCAAGTAGAAGGCTTATCAATAAACTGCAATCTTTAAGTTTGGATTCCAATATTGTAGAATGGGTAAGGCAGTGGCTGAGTGACAGGCAACAGAGGGTTGTAGTCAATGGAGTATATTCGAAGCATGGGCTTGTCACCAGTGGGGTACCTCAGGGATCTGTATTTGGACCCATTCTCTTTAATATTTTTATTAGTGATATTTCAGAAGGTCTTGCCTTTTTGCTGATGATACTAAGATATGTAACAGGTTTGATGTTCCAGGAGGGATAAGCCAAATGGCAAATGATTTAGGTAAACTAGAAAAATGGTCAGAGTTGTGACAACTTACATTTAATGTGGATGAGTGCAAGATAATGCATTTTGGGTGTAAAAACCCAAGGGCAGAGTACAGAATATTTGATAGTCCTACCATCAACATCTGAGGAAAGGGATTTAGGGGTGATTATTTCTGAAGTCTTAAAGGTTGGCAGACAATGTAAGAGCAGCAGGAAATGCTAGCAGAATGCTTGGTTGTGTAGTGAGAGGTATTAGTAGTAGCATTGTACAGAACACTGGTGAGACCTCACTTGGAGTATGGTATGCAGTACTGGAGATCGTATCTCGAGAAGGATAGTGATACTTTAGAGAGAGTTCAGAGAAGGGCTACTAAACTGGTTCATGGATTGCAGGATAAAACTTACAAGGAAAGGTTAAATGAACTTAACATGCATAGCTTGGAGGAAAGACGAGACAGGGGTGATGTGATAGAAAAAATTAAATACATTAAGGGAATCAACACAATAAAGGAGGAGACTATATTTAAAAAAAGAAAAACTACCACAACAAGAGGACATAGTCTTCAATTAGAGAGGCAAAGGTTTAAAAATAATATCAGGAAGTATTACTTTACTGAGAGGGAGGTGGATCCATGGAATAGCCTTCCAGCTGAAGTGGTAGAGGTTAACACAGTGAAGGAGTTTAAGCATGCGTGGGATAGACATAAGGCTATCCTAACTATAAGATAAGGCCAGAGACTAATGAATGTATTTAGAAAATTGGGCAGACTAGATGGACCGAATGGTTCTTACCTGCCGTCACATTCTATGTTTCTATGTTTCTCCTAAGGTTACACCTTCCACTTTGGCCACTTTGAAAAAAGCCAACTAGTGAATGATGTTCCAATCCCTTTGATCCAGCCTTGGGACAGATAATAGCAATACATAGTGGATTAGCCTTTATAAGGCTAATGTTTTTCACCTTTTTGACCTTATTTTCCCTCTCTGTAAAGTGTTTCGGTACAGTAAATTTCTAATAGGATAGGATATTTCAGTAATTTCAGTAATGCTGATTTTTTTTTTAAAGATACTAGTTTTAACAAAGGTTATAGATCAGAGTTAGAGAGTCTAGGGGGGTTGGATGAGTGCGGGAGGAATGGGTGGGGTGTACTACAGTTTGGTCAAGGCATATGTGTCAAGATATGCTCAAATTCCTAACTT